ACCTTTTAGATGCTGATCTACAGCAATATGGAGATGGAGCTTTTTATTCTTTTTTCCCTCTACGGACATACTGTTGTTATGCTGCAGCATTTTCCTCCAGCCAGCAGGGGGAGAACTAAAACCAAACAAGCTCACAGACCACTCCTAGGAGTGGTAGTTTGAGATAGCAGTCACACAAAGGGAAAATAGACTCCTTACCTTACAAATCCCAATATGCACTGTGCAGTAGGAGGAGCAGATAGAGGATTTTTATTAAACTGCTCATGAAAATTCTTCCTCTTGGCACCAAGAAAGTTAAAGAGAGAGCACCTCTGTCTGGATATTCCCTTCCAACTTGGAGTCCATATCAGCGGAGATCTGAACCTGAGACTGGGAGGACACCCGGGGGCCGTGCTGCACTGCCCACATCACATCACCTGCACTGCTGCAGCAGGAAGACTGGAGCACCCACTGACCCTCTGCTTCACAAGGCTGATCACTGGAGGCTTTTGGGATTGAGATTGAATGGGGGCCCCCCATTCCACAGTGAGAGGTTACCACAACATTCCTGGGACTAGTGAGAGGCCTTTTCACCCATTGCTGATTCTGCTAGCAGAGACTGAGCCTCTGAGATCAGGACATCAAATGTACACAGTCCATACCACACCCATACTGCACTCTAAACTGCACTTACTGTAAACCTAGACTGCACCTATACCAACCCTTTACTTCAATATACCGAACCTTTACCGCTTCTGAATCACATCTATCTTGCACCTCTTCCAAGGCAACACTCACCAGCCACTTTATTAGGTATGCCTGTTCAATTGCTTAGTAACACAAATTGCTAATCAGCCAATCACATGGAAACAACTCAATGCATTTAGACATCTAGACGTGGTGAAGATGACTTTCTGAAGTTCAAACTGAGTATCAGAATGGGGAAGAAAGGGGATTTAAAAGACTATGAACATGGCATGGTTGTTGGTTCCAGACGGGCTGGTCTGAGTATTTCAAAAACTGCTGATCTATGATATTTTCACTCACAACCGTCTCTAGGGTCCAGTGAATCCAGCGAGTGGCAGTTGTGTGGATGAAAATACCTTGTTGATGTCAGAGGAGAATCGGCAGACTGGTTTGAGATGATAGAAAGGCAATAGTTACACATGTCAGTATGGAATAACATCTCTGCAGAATGTTTCCAACACCTTGTTGAATTTATGTCACAAAAGCATTAAGGCAGTTCTGAAGGCAAAAGTGGATCCAGCCCGGTACTAGCAAGGTGTACCTAATAGAGTGGCCGGTGAGTGTATACTGTGCATATACTGTATGTAGGTTAACTGGGACTGTCGTTAAGTGCAAAGTCACTGTTAAAGGGCCCCAACAATAGCCAGCAGAAGAATATCTCAAAAGATATGCCCCTCCCATATTTATTCTGCAAACCCCGTTTGTCCCCCTGCCTTCTTCGCTACTATCTTCCTTTTCTTTTGGACAGAGTATACCCAGTTGGTCTAGGACGTGCATCACCACCATAAATGCACTCTGGGAGTAAAGTTCCAGCGCTCAGTAGAGTAAACTTTACTATTGCTCACTGTTGCGCTTGAGGTGGCCTTGCTACTGTTTATGCTAATCTGAACACTGAATGTCATCTTATCTTATGCCTAGTCCATACTGTTAATCACTTTGTATGCTAAATTGTGTTATTACCATTGTTATTCCATTTAATGCTTGTCTAGTTACCAACCCTATTGGGTGACAGTATATTAAGTTTGCATTTATTACCTGGTTTGGACTTTTTTGATATAGCACTTCTATTGGGTACTAAGTATTACCTTCAGTGATTTCCTGTGATTTTGTATGTTTTTACACTCAACCTGGTGTGTCAGAGGGGCTGAGGTTCCGGAGAAGTTCAAGGCAAAGAAAAGAGGACCCATCCAATCCAGCGGCTCCTACGGTGATAGCGCTACAGATGTTTCTAAGGAGTCTGATTCTAAGAAATCTGGACAGTCTTAAGTGGCTCTGTCCCCACAATATCCCTCATCCACATACAGTGCAGGAGGGCAGTTTCTAAATGTCTAAAAGAGAAGCTGGCCATACTTCCCTTCTGGGTCAGAGGAGTGCATTTACGTTTACTCTCCTCTGACCTAGAATCAGCCATCGGTGGGGCTAAAGTATGTTGTCGGTTTACATCACAGAGACGCTCCAAGCTCTAGAACAGGGGTGTCAAACTGGCGGCCCTCCAGCTGTTGCGACACTACAAGTCCCATCATGACTCTGCCTTTGGGAGTCATGCTTGTAACTGCCAGCCTTGCAATGCCTCATGGGACTTGTAGTTTGGCAACAGCTGGAGGGCCACTAGTTTAACACCCCTGCTCTAGAAGAATCCCAACCATTGTGTTGGGACCCATCAAGGTGCTTGACTGACAGCTGGCTCTGCCTCTCAGCAAGTGGCTGAGAGCCAGAGCCAGCTGTAACCACCTGCTCCAATGAGCACTGGAGGGACAGAGCAGAGAGCTGTAACTGGCAGTCACTGCTCTCCTCTTCGAGAACTAAGCGATCAGAAGTCATGTGATCGCTCAGTTCTTGGTCTTAGAGCCGACTTGGAACAGCTGCAGCAAAGAGGCCGACTTGGAACAGCTGCAGCAAAGAGGTATGTGTTTTGTTTTTTTGGAACCTAAAACGTCTCCTTTAACCCTTCGTTAGGACAGTGTTCAAATTTAGTTTACAGGTGGGAATGAAGAAGTGTGAACACACACAGTACAGACAGAGTTTAATATTTTAAACATTATTCCACAGCCAACTCCTAAACATCACAAAACACGGAGAGCATGTTAGGGTTCATGTACACTGCAACTGATAAACTGACGTTCAGGAGCTTTTCTGCATTTTTTTCGGCAGCCCCTGAACTCTCCCTAATGTTTTCCTATGTGTCCATGTACACAATGCCATTTACAGTCGTTTACAGGCAGTTCAATTTACAGTAGTTTTTTTGAACGCACCAAACTTGCATTCAGGAGTAGATTTTATCAGCGTTTCAAATACCAAGCGCTTGTAAACACGGCTAACTGCATTTATAAGCGTTTGCGTTTAGAAGCCTTTTTTAACTGTTCCAGATGCTGTCCAGAGCCTTTTTTTCATCATCAAAAATGCATGCAAAGTGTTTTCCATGTATTCATATGGACCCGATACACCAGCGCAGTCAGTTCCAGGTCTTTTGTGCATCCTTGTGGAGGCAGTCCCTTTTTATGTCAAATGGGATGCAGTGGCTGCATGAACACAGCTGCTGCTCCCAATTTGACAGCTGTGTGGTTGTAGGTGTGTGTCTTTGTTTTGGAAAACAAAGACACACACTTACATGTTTAGTTGGGAGCAGCAGCTTTGTCTAGGCAGCTACTGTTTCTCAATTGATATCAATGGAACTGCCTGCACAGGGATGCATGAAACACCTGTGCATCCCCATGCAAGTAAACATTGCCATCCTCGGGTATACACTTTAAGCACACCCCTGTAAGGCCTAAGGCCCGTCACACAGGGTGGACCTGTCAGCGGATCCACTTGCTCATTGGGGATCTGTCCACTGATCCCCGCTGAGCAAGCAGATAACAGGTCCGTGTCTGCTCCGGTGCTGCAGGGCGGACACAGCCCGCTGTCCTCTATGTGCGGTCGGATGGAAACGGACTGCCTGTCCTTTTCCATCTGACTGCTATCCAATCCTATTTGATGGACGGAAGGGGAACGGATCCCCATCTGTTTCTTTTTAGCGGATTAGATTGGATGTCCGTTTACACCCTCCACTCCATAAAGAATAGAGGTTCTGATCGGGTCCGCCTCAAAAAGAGGCAGGCGGACCCGATCGGAAGTCCGTATGAAAGGGGCCTTAATTATGAAAATGTGCATTGAAGGTCGCTCAGGAGACACATGTGACCTGCTGAGTAGGTTAAATAACCTCATGACCTCCATCTTACTCTACAGTTGCTGCCCTGCCTGCTCAATCTCTGTGGTTGCTGGCATACTCAAAGTGGTACGAAGCACTAGGCATTTTTTACCCTAATGAATTCTCTGCATTAAGGTGAAAAAAACAAAACAAAAACACACCCCAGTACCGTCCTCTATTCCCGTGTTCACAAACATTTACCTGTGGTGTCTTATCCCCATCTCTAGGTCAAGGGCTGCTTCTCCACTCTTCCAAGCTGTAGAGGAGGGTACTGAATGCTGGGAGGAGGGGGGTGCATGGGCGTGGCTTACCAGGCGCTGTGTGTGTCAATGGGCAAACACAACACCGGCCAGGAATGTGCACACACTGGTGTCACCTTAACAGCCAGCTAGCTAAAGGAGACACCCAGAAACTGTCAGGGGGCTTGCGATTTGGGGACTGTCTGGAGGAGAAGAAATTAGACAATTTTTAAAGAAGACTCATAATCTCCTCCTGTGGACCTCTTCAAAAAAAAAAAAGTTTATTATCACTTCAGCATTGGAACATGAAAGCAAAATGTTCCCTGTCCCACATATGTGCTTTTTCTAGTGCTCTTATATAAAGGTATCTCCTCTGTCATAGGTATTAGTGGAATCAGAAAAGTCTCTGCTGCATTGGTGCATATGGTCACTTACCTTTGTGTGCGCCCTTTGCTCTATTTTGCTCCTTTAGAGGCTTGATGTTGTCTCAGCCATAACTATACAGGCACCATCAAGCAGATCATTCCTCCCAGCACTGCTAGCTAATGTACATTGCTGATACTGAAAATCCCTGGTTGCACATTATGGAGTTGGCATTTTCTGCTGGCCTTGCTGCTGCTGCTGCTGATAAACAAATCAGTTAGCATAAACCCCAGTTTATGGTGATTATCAGATTACTACTGATTTGCTCCATTTGTTAAGTCTATTCAACTGAAAACTATTAACATTCTTCTTACGATTATTATAGTCAATTTAAGATATTTGTGATATAATGTATAATGTATTTACATAATTTTATTTTACATATGGCAGCAGTTGGGAAAACCATTCAGTGTTTTGCCTTTGTATCAGATTGCAGTGTCCCCATGGATAATATATATCATCAATTGTACATTTGTTGCTGTTGTTGCTAGATATAAGCCCTCTGCAAACCAGCAGATACCCAGACCTCCCAGAGTGAGAAAATTGCTCACAGTGGTGCTTACATGCTCCATGCAGAAGCAATCTTCTCTGAAGCAGCCCAAGAAGTAGTACCACAACGTACCTGTGTACATGATACACAGCTTATTCCCACATTGAAAAGAGCAAGGTTCAATGCATTCAATATCTAGGTCATGGCACAAGACTTTGGTATGCTCTGCATAACTATCTGCCTGTCCTCCAAACCTGGTGCATCTATAGCCAACCTCTTGCTGCAAGAATACATTTCCTATATGGGCCAAGATATTCTCAGATAGTATGAATTCTTCTGGTAGATATTTCACAGGACAAGGGTCCATTGGGTGCTCTATGGCTGGGGAAAAGGATGGTATTGGGTTTTGCAGAGGAAAGTCAACTGGTTTGGTTCTGGAAGGGCATAGGGAGAAGGTTAGGAGCAGGCCCTGTACTCTCAGCAATATGTCAGGCATGGGCAGCACTAACCACCTCACCTTTCTGCTGCATCAGCCTCAACTGCACTCCTAGCAGTTCATTTGCTGTATACATATGTATCCATGGTCCCTTCCTCTCCCATCTTTGGGGACCAACAAATTAAGGACTTAGTGAAGTATGGCACACGCTGTGCAATACATTCTCAGTATAAATTCGCCTTTGCCTACTGACCTAATCATTTAGTGACCTCCAATGAACGGGTTGGGGGTGGTGTATTTGGACATGGAACAGTATGAGGTTCAAGGAGCTGTTTACATGCCAAAGCATTTCCATTGCCCCCAGTCTGTGATTGGACAGTGAAGGACCAAGAGCAGTTAATTTTTAGTAAAATACCTAAATACAGTAACCTGTATTTTTATGTGTCTGAAATTCAGCTTTTATGCCAGTAAAATACTGAGTTTGGCCTGAAAAGCAGATTGCAGGTTTGATTCATCAGATGACATCTGAGCAGATTTACGGCAACTGCAGGTAACACAAAGGGGCTGATTTACTAAAGATACAGAGACTGTTCACTAAAGTGAATTTTCACTGAACTTGGTAAATAGGATGCAGATACGTTTGATCAAACAATAATAGCTCATTCCTCTTTTCCTGTTGTTTCGCAGTGTCCAACATGTGAATACCATCGGCCCACCTTAGCTCACCAAGTATGGTCATGCATAAATATTTTTCTTTTGGGATCAAGTGATAATCTTCATTCAAACAGGTAAAATACAACTATCCAGAAGGACCCTCTGATGCTCCTCTTTAGGCTTTAAACAACATCTCAAACAGGAAAAAGCCACCCACAGTGGACTCGTATCTGCTCTTCTAAAACGTAGAGCGGTTATAGGACACTGAAATCACAAATGTTACCCCCACTGTGGCTGAGACCACACTAGAGCTGACAGAAACACAATTTATGCTTACTTATAGGGAGTGGCGTGCCAAAACTGATCCAACCAATTGTGGCATTATTCCCGAAGGATCCACTTGGTAATTTGAGTTCTTTGTTCTGTGTGTAAACTTCAAGAACAACTTCAGCCCCTCTGGCACACTTGTTTGAGTGACAGTTACTGCAGGCACTTATAGGAACATAAGTATGAATGCCTCTAACTCGACTGTGAATTAGTATCAGGAAATAGAGGAAATAGACACAAGACTGTTTAGTGGTAAATTAACTTAATGCATTGGTTTAGGTTAGAGCAAACGATGGTTTGGGCATAAATGAGCACACAGAATGTAGGTTCAGACACGGTCTGCTAGACACTATGCCAAAATAACTTAGAATTCTGTACCACTAGACTGGAATTAACTCATGATTCAGCAAAGTCAGCAATAAACAAATCAGCAAATAGTTCTAAAGTCAGCAAATAGTGCATAACTAGTCTAGAGTGCCCTCTAGGAGAATGGCTAGGATATGGAACAATGCCCCCTGAGAGATACCTCTTAGCATAAGCAATAGGAAAATGTTTCTGTTTAGCAGGTGTTAAGGGGCAGCCTTTAGCCCTAACTCTTTAGTCGGCTAGCAGTGGAGCCAATGGTACCGTAGGTGCACATGAGAATAGTCCCTTCAAATATGCAAGCAGCAATAAGGCTACTAGATGGCCGTATGCTCAGTTCCTAAAGGGCTCAGTCTCTCTTTCTGGCAGCAGATAGTAGATCCCTACACATCAGCTCCCCATCTGGTCACACAAAGCAATTAGCCCACTCTCTAGTCTGTACCCACATGGCTGTCGGTACCCCCAAACTCAGAGCTCTGGAGCCCGCTTGGGCCATCGATATGCAGCAGTGATGGTGCACACTAGACTCTAGTGTGCACTCTCTGATCTCCATAATGTCAAGGGAAAGCTGTGTCCTGTACAGCGTGAGAAAATGCAACTCTCTCTCCTCCTCCTGGTACTCTCTACTTGGAAAATGCAGTTCAAAAGCTCTTGATTACAGTAGTGTCAGTCCTCTGAACTACAATTCACACAATGCAGTGCTGCCTCATTCAGTCTATTTATAAAGAAAATGCAGCGCTGTGTGATGTTACTATATGGCGGACAGATATAAATAATAAATGAAACCAAAGCAAATGAATACATAAATCAATCAATAAATAAATCAAATCACAGTCCAGTAATGGTGCTCGCTGATTCCCAGTGCAAAAGTTAGAAATGCGCACTAATCAGAAACGTATTAATAATACGCATGTGTATATGATATCATGGAGATTCCCCTCTCTTTTCTGGTCTGGTGGGCAGCAGCTCTACCTCTGAAGAAGTGCGTGCACACGAAACGCGTCAGATGGAGCCCAGGACGCCATTGACACTACGCCGCTGGTGCCACGTGGAGGCCCGGCGGCCATCTTTAATCTTAAAGGGTCAGTCATTTGATTAAACCTGGCACCATTGTGAGTTTTTTCTGAACACTCCTGTTTTTCTTGAATAAAATCATTTTCATCAACCTACTACACTATGGGTTCTTTCCTGTGTCTTCTGCGATGAGCCTTTTCAGCTTCTGCAGACCCAGATTGATCCCTGCACCAGCCTTTGAGAGGAGGAATTTTCCACTTCACACACTTCTGTAAGGATTTCTGTGACCTGCTGGACCTCCCTTTCATCTCTACTATCTCCAGCTCCTGCCCATTACCAGACCAGAAAAGAGAGGGGAATCTCCATGATATCATATACACATGCGTATTATTAATATACTGATTCTGGTTAGTGCGCATTTCTAACTTTTGCACTGGGAATCAACGAGCACCATTACTGGACTGTGATTTATTTATTTATTGATTTATTTATGATATACAGTAGCTGTTAACCAGTTTAGCATCGCAGGGCAGCAGCTACAGAGTGCAGATGCAGCCAGTGTTTCTCTCACTCTTCATTTTTAGCCAAGCACCTGGCTACACCCTAGGCAAACACAAAATCACACCATGGAAGGCTTCATAAGCCCAATCAGATAAATATAGATGTGATATAAGCAGCTCTACATACCCCTATCTTCCCATTTTGTTTTGTTGAATCCCCACTCATTATTGGTTAAGGCTCTCAATCCTAATACATGTTTATTGGGGTACACACAACTCTGCTCATTTCTCCAATTCCAGTAATAGGTGTTGGTATGCTTGTTTGTATTGTGAAATTATAGTTAGTTGCCATGTTATAATGGCATGTAATATTCTGCTGCTAGGCTTTGTCTTTGTGCCATCTAAAAATGCTTAATAAAACTTGTTTAAAAAATGAAAATAACTTATTTACTTTTGTTAAATGGACAGACTCTACTCCTTTAGCAATACAGCCAAGTGGCTTAAGATGGACTTAAAGATTAAAGATACTAAAGAATAAGGATATAAGATCCAGAAAGTGAACATCTTTCAGATCAGATCACATGCAGCCAGTTAATTTGGTGTTTTTCTCTTTAACCTCTTTGCACCGGCTGCACGCCTCCCGGCGTCTGGGCCTTGACGCCGCTCTCAGCAGGGCCTTGACGCCACTCTCAGCACACATGTCCGGTACTCACGGAAAGGTCCTGATCTCCTCTTTCAATAGGGACTTTTCCCAATCATGTGACCACCGTGACGGCGAATCACAGCATACACATGACCTTAAAACCCCGCCTCCCGACTTCTGAAACCCTTAAAGGGCCGGGAGGCGCAGGCTCCACGGGGTTAATATTTCACGCTTCTTGAAACTTCTGCTTCCCTGCCATGCACAATGTGTCCCCATGTCCCATAGTGAACGACCGTAACATGTGGCGGAGGAACACATGTTCATCACAACTAGAAGTTTCCAATAACTGCAGTGGAAAAAGATCTGCAACACAGCAGAATTTTAAGACACAGGCCACCAGAAAGGTAAGTATGCTGTGGTTGCATCGTCTAGTGATCCTGCCAGTAACACACTTCCTATTCAGGACAACGCTCACTTACTGTACTGTACCTATAGAGAAGCAGCCCTAGCTTAGGAAAGGAAGTGTACTGGGACAAGAGAACGCCCCCCACTCTCCTTATCTCAATAACATAGGAGGTGTACTGTAGTTCACAGGGAAAATTGGACAGAGCTAGTAACACTGTTTGAGATAATCATGCAGAGTGCACAGGACAGCATTACATTTCTGTCAGATCCAACTGTTTTTTACACTTATTAAACAGTTGGCAAAACAATTTAACTGGTATGTTTAAAAGACCAATGGGAAGCAAGTAAGAGAAGTTCATTGTTAGGATTTACAGACACTTTAAATATAAAGTGGCATTGAAATGTCAGATAAAATGATTTCCTATTTCTGCGAAGGCTCTTTTATATTCCATATTCAATCTTACCATTACATTTACTATCAGGTACAATTACAGGTAAACATTATACTGAGCCTGTCACAAACCCATTAACTTAATGGTGTTGTTACAAAATCAAATGCGGCTGTTTTAAATGGAACAAATTTGTTTTCATTTAATTTCTCATCAGAATTGCAGCAGCAATTTAGATAATAACACTCGGGATAAAAAACGTCCAAGAAAATAAATTTATTTAAGACTGAAAGAAAATAAGAGAACACAGATATAACAATGATGAACATCAAATATAAATTGAAATGCACATTTTAATGGCTTATAATGGCTTGTGTAACCAGACAAAGTACCAAACTGACATTCGGAAATTGATTGAGGTATTTAACTATTTTTTTTGGCTAAAAAACCTTACATAGCATAAGAAACATTGCTTTCATAATAAAATATATACTTTCTATGAGGATCTGTACAAGTGAAATGAAGATCTTGTAGATGAGATATAGAGGATGGTAAACACTTTTGGTGTAGGCAGCAAATTAAACTTCACAGGTAGTTTCTAATTAGTTTTATTTATTTTAAACAATATTATATTTA